AGGGGAACTGGCCCAGGGCACCAAACGACAGCGAGAAGGTCCTCTGCAGCTTCACATCCGTGCTCTTCGGGGCCTTCATCTCTCTCCTCTCCAAAATCCAGCAAAGGGTCCCTTCTGGCAGAGGGGAGGGAGAGTGAATGAAGGCAACAGGTGTGGCCGTTCGACAAGGGAGACATCAGGCTGCCAACAAAACCACAGAGCCTTGCCGTTTCGTTGGCAGGGGCCAGCGGATGATGAAAGATGAACAGCGGATCGCTGTTGCTGATCATGGAATCAGATTCACTTTTCTGATCAAAATATGCTAACCATTGCCAGTACGGCAACATGCCGCTCCCCCCCGCCCACCCGCCCCCCAATTCAGAGAGGGCATCTCAAAATGCTCACTTTTCTCTTGAAAATTCACCTGAGAAGGCGGTGACATTAAATTCACTGATTTCTGCAGAACCCTCTTTCATGTCAGGGAAGGGGGTCAGAAGATGAGGGCCAAGTCGACACAGGTGAACCCAAAGGACGTGTGCGAAGGTTTAGTCATGTCCAGAAAGGTAACTTTTCAAGTATCAATTTTTTTTAATTAAAAACAAAAATCAGAAACGTCTTACGCATCCCAGTGTTGTCTGGGAGTTTATGGTTGAGTGAGGGGAGTCTGTAAAGAAAACACGGGTCCGAGGTGCGTGACTCATCTGGCTTTAATGGGGAAAAAGATTGATGAAGCAGCATGTGCATTTCTTTGCCTCTTGTAACAAAAACTCACAGAACCATTTTTAACCGGACTTCAAGAGCAGAGTGAGGCCAGGTTAGACGACGGGATAGGAAATCACAGTCTGCAAAAGGCACTGTGCTCCTTCTGAAGCTCTGTCAAGGTCGTCTGGAGGATAAGAAGGGGGCCGGGCACACCCGCAGCGGCCAGGGCACAGCAGGAACCAAGCCCCAAGTCCAGTGTTGTGCACGGCTCCGCATCCGGCAGGCAGATGGTGCCACCGAAAAGCATCCCTAGCAATACGCGCTTCTTTTGCACCGTGGAGGGCGCCAGGGATGCTCATGCAAACGGCACAGAGAGAACACTGTCCATGGGGACAAGCGAGACTCCGCGGCATATGGACCACTACAGTGCTGGACCCACTGACTCGAGAGGCCTTCCGAGGTCCTCAGTCAGAGCTAAGCCCTCTCCATCAGCGCTAGGCCAGAGGAGCCCAGAATTGTCCTAAGTGCTCTGACAGCCAGCAGCTGTGTGACCTAGAAAACAATGTTCAACTTCTTGGACGCCGGTGTTTTTGTTTTTTGTTTTTGTCTTTCCCATGTACAACGTGGGGATAATTTTATCTACTGGGTTGGATCGCTGTAAGTAAAAACCAGTTGCTGTCAAGTAGACTCCAGCTCAGTCAACCCCACGTGGGTCAGAATAGAGCCCTGCTTCAGGGAATTGTCTCAGCTGGATTTTTCCACAGCAGGTCACCAGCGCTTTTGCCCAAGGCACCTCTGGGTGGACGCAGTCCCCCAACATTCTGGTTCGCAGCTGAGTGTGTTAACTGTTTCCACTCCCCAGGAGCTCCCGTGCTAAGTCAGGAATACATTTGTAGATCTAGATATGGCTCCACGTGGTTAGAAAAACAGCTCCAGGCTGGCAACTAGAAAGACTAGCTGAAAGCTTCAAGGGCATGTGTGTGGGGAGGGTAGCAAG